TCTGAAGGAGGGTGTTAATGTTGCAGTTTAAAAACTGTAGTGTAAAGCACCCTTCTGGCAAGACAGTGATGGAGTGAATGATGGTGAAAGTTTTTCTTTTTCGGGCCACCCTGCCTTGGTGGGAATCGGCCGGTGTGATAATAAAAAAAAAAAAAATAATGAACACTTAGCTGATAAATGACAGCAAATCGTCTACACAGCCGCCCCTGCAGACGATGTCTAGAAGCTGTCGAAACCATCACAACAGTGGGCTGTCAAGAGATACAATTTGTAAGTATAAATTACCCCTAGGGGGTGTTATGTCAGCATATTTCATTCGATGATGGCTGACGAAATACTTACTTGTTTGGACTCAAAAGTCCACACCTTACTGCCGATTATAGGTTGATTACAAACTCCTTGTGACTCAAGAATTGCGCAATCCCCCGATCTACAAGAAATTCGTAACATACCTTGCTCTTTGTAACGTGAGCTATGGTGTTCTCAACACCTTCGACAGATATCGGTGACTTGATAGAAGCTGAAGTGTCCTTGGATGTCCACGTCTTCCATTGTCTAGGAAACGCACACTGGTACACTATGTTCCACAAGATTTGTCTTTATTGTTCACAATGTATCACAAGAGAAACTGATCACACCTCTCTTATGTTTATTGTGTTTGTGAGACACTTTGTCCACACTAACGCACAGATCAGTGTTCTTTGTTGGTTATCCTGGCGTCAGTGTCACTCGTAGTAGAGTCAAAGATAGTCTGCCAGACGCCACAGTGCTCCATGCCGTCTCTGCCCCCAGCACAAAAAAAAAAAAAACGCTGACCTAGTACCTTGCATCCTTGTCACCTCCTCGATGAAGCAAAGCAGAATGTTTGTTTCTTGTTGTCTTAATCATAGACAACAATGTACACTTATCTTTACTATGGTAATAAAGTGGGAGCAGGATTTTCCTTAATTGTCCTGCTAAGTAAGAGATGTACTGTCTCTTATAAAAATACACGTTGCAACACCGCTGCAAGGAGCAGAGGTCATTTGACTACGTGGCATAGCATCTGTGATCAATTACTCACTCTAGCAGTAAACAAGACGCTCGCCCCTTCTGAGTGGCCCCTCAGGGCTGAAAGGGCTGAAGGGGGCTGAAGGGGGCTGATACCCCCCTCCTGGAGAAAATTTCTCCATACCTTGTTTAAATAACAGATTCATACAGGTCGAATCTAGGCGAGAGATGAGACGTCTTGGGTCATCCTCTCTACCTTGTGCCGAAGGTAGGGATGATACTAGGGAGGGGGGGAGGTATGATACTAGGGAGGGGGGGAGGGATGAGGACAGCAACACCAAAAACCGTTGGATACTCAGTTGTGCCACGTGCAGATTTTTGCAGCCTCAGCTGTTAAGCAGGTGTGAGATGTGCCTTAAAACTATAAGCTTGTTTGTTGCTCTGATTGCAAGTTACCACATGATTAATCTTCATGGTTACTGAGGTTATATTTCATGCTGGATATAACTTCATCATCCAGCTGGAAGATTTTTATTCATTATTACCATCACCTCAGAACTCATATGCTTTCTAGATCTGCATCTCTTTCCTCTCCCTAATAAAAAAGTAATAGAAGTAATAATAAAATAAAAATATATACTAATAATAATGAAGAAGAGGAAAATTCGTGTTTGTTACATGTTGTTGGGAAGCCTGTACGTTTATACAGAAATACAAGAAAACATGATAATTAGTCATGCCTCTATGTTTTGTCTTTCTCTTAAACCAACTTTTCCTTCTTTTTTTACTTGCTCATAACTCGATTTGACATTCTATCTTCTTCAAAATATCAATGCTTGTGCAGGCATTAGCGCCAAGTTCTTGCAACGACTGGTATGTGCAGGTGACCTGTGTCCAAAGTTACTGAACCCATTCCCAGCATCCTGGAATGGCTGAGATAACTTACAAAACCCTAAAGAACGCTGCTCAATCGTTCAAAATTTATGCCTCCTAAATGGACGACGGCAGAGAGTGAAAATCAAGTTTGTAGGTCCAGAGTTGACCATTTTATGTGAAGAATAGAGTAAAAAAAATTATTCTTGCTAAATAACACTAAATAAATTTCGGTTTACCTCTTCGTTGACTTCATTATTTAATGGTTGATTCAACTTAGGACCAGGATAGTACGGTGCCCCGCAACTAGATCACTAGAGCACTCGGCTCACACACTGAGGTCCGGGGATCGATTCTCCGGTGCGACTGGAAAGTATTAGGATGTGTTTCCATAAGACATCTGCTGTCCATGTTCACCCATCAGTGAAATGGGTACCTGGGTGTTAGTCGACTGGTGTGGGGTCGCATCCTGGGACAAAACTGACCTTATTTCTCTGCTTATGCTCTGCATAACAAGCAGCTTTCTATATAGTAGTATGTCATTGATGTCAGGTAGGCTTGTACCATGTACTTATAGCAATAAAGATATTATTATTTGTTGGTGTAGTAAAAACAAACAAACTTGGACTCGCTGGATTCCGTGCCATATCTGGAGAATAACTCATATGATAGGCTTCAAATCTTCACCATTTGTGTGGTTTTCTGAAAGGAAAGTCCACAGCTTGCTACCACCTGCAGCTCACAAGACTCCCATTCCCACGAGCCCCCCTGGGGCGGGGAAGATGACAGACCAGAGACCCGTGGCCCGGTGGCCTGGTGGCTAAAGCTCCCGCTTCACACACGGAGGGCCCGGGTTCGATTCCCGGCGGGTGGAAACATTTCGACACGTTTCCTTACACCTGTTGTCCTGTTCACCTAGCAGCAAATAGGTACCTGGGTGTTAGTCGACTGGTGTGGGTCGCATCCTGGGGGACAAGATTAAGGACCCCAATGGAAATAAGTTAGACAGTCCTCGATGACGCACTGACTTTCTTGGGTTATCCTGGGTGGCTAACCCTCCGGGGTTAAAAATCCGAACGAAATCTTATCTTATCTAGCTTCTTCCTACGAGCCCCGTGAGGGCGGGGAATGGGGCTAGCCCTGGGACAGTTGATCCCGTTGCTATTATTAGGTGGCATAAATCTTAATTTGCAAATTTTATGAAATAAACGGTGACATTCACTTACATTCAGTAACTAAAGAATGTTCCTGATCTGCATCAAAATATTAATGATGAAGTAAGACGGATGATGCCCCACAAATTTATTTTGAGTACGTACAAATCTGAAATTTTTCAAAAATTGTAAAAAAAAAAAAAAAAAAAAAAAAAAAAAAATGGAATCATTGGAATCAGATCAGTTTCAGGATAATACCTTTTCTGGTCGACTTCAAACTCCTACCATTGGTGGGCATCAGTAAAAGTAACCTTTTCATTCAATTTGAGCTCTGTAGATTTCAACCTGCCAGAACATTTGTATGAATTTTTGCCATTGTAATAACTAGAGAATGACTCTTCTGGTCGGCTTCAAACCTTACACTGGTGTATCTTAATTGGAAACATTTTTTGTTTTGATATTGGGTTAAGTGTATGTGTCAATTTGCCTCTTTTTAAAGCAATTTTAGTAAATTAGATTTGTTTTTAAATCATAACCAAATACTTTTTTGTACGGCATACTCATAAAGTTTGTAGTATCTGGTGGAATAATAATGATACTCTTTGAAGGTGAGTCTTCGGTTTATGGAAAAGGCAGTATACTGGTGTTAGTCCGACGCCAGGCCGCGGCCTGCCAGAGACTTGGGTGGGGGGCGATTCATCTTGGTACTGATGTGTCTGTGGACGTTGTGAGATGCCGGGTCTGGTGAGCTAAGCTCTAGGTTTGGCCCAGTTCCACCAGATGTGGCACCACAAGGCCTAGGGCGGCATGAGGCAAAATACAAGCCCGACAGGAGTTACAATTGGATGGTAGAAAATTTGAAAAATAAAAGAATCGCGTTTGAAGGCCTTTGTAAGCATTGGTGTGGATAGGCTTTCCTATTTTCAGGATGTAGGTCTCTCTGAAATAAAAAGATAGTGCCTCTTTAGTTTAGCTTCATATCTGGTGTTTCTTAATGGAAGGTTTAGACATGGCTGGTTCATTTTTATTAAAGGAATTACGATACTGATTTCCCCATGATGACATGTGAATATTTCTTCTGAGTCTCTTCAGATCTTTAATGACGATGTTTAACTGCATTATAAACTTATGCCGGACTCTACTAGTCGCGTGCGCCGAGGTAGGGGAGACTAGGGTCAAACAATACCTGGAGTTTACCTGGAGAGAGTTCCGGGGGTCAACGCCCCCGCGGCCCGGTCTGTGACCAGGCCTCCTGGTGGATCAGAGCCTGATCAACCAGGCTGTTGCTGCTGGCTGCACGCAAACCAACGTACGAGCCACAGCCCGGCTGGTCAGGAACTGAAATACATCTAGTTTATTTTCTGTTTTAAAGTTGTGGTAAATGTAAAACAGTTTCCCTATACACCCAGAGACGTGTAACATTGTTAATATACACTGATAATTTACTTCAGTCTCGATTTATTCAAATGAAACTTTCTTAATATTAAAGTACAGAATTATTGCTGTCTTAATATCACCATATACTGTACTCGACAAGCTTTACTAATGGTTCTTAGCTGAGTAGCCGCAGCTTCAGCTTATAATCGAAGGACTCAGGCAAGTGGAGATGTAAGGGCAGGTCTCCTTACAATCGTTACCACTGCTCACTTATCAGTAAATAGCCGGCTGTTGTGGGCTGCATCCTGGGGAGGGGGCATAATATACCTTAACTTATATAGTTGGTATCCCACAATCTAAGTTGAAAGATGGGTTGCAAGAAAAGGCTACTAGTGGTAGAATTCCCTTCAAATGATATTATAACCTATTTGAAGTCACCTGTTGGTAGCTTAAGAGCGGCTTTACAAAATTTATACGGAATAATTAGTTTTAGTGTGAGTACTGACCGTGAATGGGTGAACAGCTCTCCCAGCCCAGGCCGGCGCTGGTCCTGGCTGACACACACACTTCACTAGGGTGGAAGTTGACCACTTGGCTCTCATAACAGCGAGGCTCACACAGCACTCCTTTCACCGCTGACTCCATCAACACGTACCCCTCCTTGTCCTTCCACTCCACCAGGTACCTGCAAGAACCACTCACCAGTGCTCGAAGAACTGCTAACTTTAAAAATCTCTCTCAAGCTCTTTAGTTAGGGATAGGAGTTATAGAACACGGACATATAAACATTGAGGGGGACACTTACCCAGTTATCCTACCGTGAGCCTTTTTCGGTGCATTCCAAACAACGTCACACCGCCAGTGGGTACCAGGGGCTTGATTACTGCACGAACCACTATCAGTTACCGGTGGACCTGGTACTGTAGGCACAAGAAACACAGGGAAGTGATGGTAGTTGGAACTGTGGTGTAGTTTTGGTATGAATACGGGTGGTATGTATGGTGGTGGTCGGACGTACTGGAGGCCACAGTTTGGTATATGTTGCGGCGTTTAGAGTTAGATTCATAAATTTATTATGCACTACATATCCTATGGATGGTAGTAAAAAAAAATCACAGAGGCACAAAATCGATCCTGGGACAAAGCCCCAAAGTTTTGATAGCCAAGTGCGTTAAAATAGGATGAAACTGTTTACAAATTAATAATCATTAAACAGCAGTAATGAGTTGTTTTTGCAGAAATAAATTCGATCACAAAAACATAACAATGTAGCCTTTTTGCGATTTTGAGTTAATCATTATACCTTATATTATTAGCAAGGAATGTCTGAAAAAATATTAATAGTGATGATTGGTAATAAGAAACTCTGGATAAAATACTTTGAAATTTCTTGAACATTTAAGTGTGTGAATTTTCCCTGAACTCATGATATTTCCGCATTCTAGCACAATGACGCCAGGTGTGACAATAGTTCTCATAGTAAAATTTATATTTGGTTATATCTGCATCAGTTGGTGCTGGCAGCCCAGCAAGAACTGGGCAGTTGTGTCTCCAGAAATCTCCTGATTTCGTTGAATTTGCCATAGACATGTGGTTCTTCTTGCATGATATTGTGATGATAGATGGACTGACTGGTGTCTTAATATTATTCTTAAGTTACTAGCTGACAACCGAAAGCTGCATTTCTTTCAAAAAATAAGCTAACACAGCTGTTTTAAGAATTTTATCCCCAGGTTAGAGTTCGAGTTATATTTAAGCCTAAATAAACTGTTCAGCTATTGTGAATTATTATTATTATTATTATTATTATTATTATTATTATTATTATTATTATTATTATTATTATTATTATTATTATTATTATTATTATGTGAGCAAATCACCTGCAGGAGGTTTACAAGGCATTATCTGAATTATTACCTGCAAGTAATTTGGGTTAGGTAAGTGGGACTTAAGTCACAGCAGGTCGCTGAACTATAACTCCCTCGTTGCCCACTCCCTATCACTTTCACGAAAAGCTAGACCTGACATTAAATTTATAATTATAATATTAAAACCAGCTACTCTGGTAAATTAAAATTGTGGATTGTATATATTAGGCTTGCTGGGTACACAAAATATAATTGGTATTAACACTTACCATTTAATTACTATAGATGGATCAAACCACAACACTTGCCAAACACCTAGACCCTTGAAGATTGAGACACTTATGCAACTTTTCGGTTTTTCAGTCCATTCATCACACCTAGACCCTTCACTGGCCAGCTAGAGATCTAAATGCAAGGACTAGTGGTGCACTTTCATGTGAGTGAAGTTTGCATCCCTTATCTTCTGTCATCCACATGTAATTCTTGAGGTCCAGCAATTTTCCTGTCTTCAGAAGGGGACATTAACACGGGTTCCAAATTACAAATTCAGGCCGAAAACACCCAATTGACCCTCGAGAACGCCGATCACATTGCACATCTCAGTCCAGTGTTGACACATTAAATTCAATATGGCATCTCCCCCGGCATCACTCCACAGCTCTTCTACACCCCCCCCCTCACTCGAAATTTCTCGAAGGGTCCAAATAACATTACATTTTAGTACACATTGTATTATTCATTTACATATATTATCTACATTTAGGAAATTAAGTAAAAAAATTCCAAAACAAAGATATTATACCTGTTAACTTCGTTTCTCTGAAGTCTACAAATATAACTGTCATAGCTGTAATGCCTATGTATTTTGGTAAAACTAAGCATCAAGTGTCTTTGAACACTTGGGCAGATCTATTACAACAAATAGCCAACTGAAGGAACCCCCATTAAGTGTCATAGATCAACAATGGACGCCTGGTGTTTAAGCATGGTGGTCCAGTGGAATCGATCCTGGCGAAGCCACAGTTCTGTTAATGATTCAAAATCACTTGTTTCATTTTTCATTGATATATAGACTGTTCATGAAGGCTGGTACACCAAACAGGATGAGGCTGAAATTAGTTTCTGAGGCTCCATCACCACGAATGTCCTTGCATCAGGATAACATGCTCAGTACTGCTGGGCACCTGGTGTTTAAGGATGGTGGTATAATAGATAGAGTGAGGCATTGTTCACTTCACACAGGGATGGGCATGGGAATGCAGGATCGAGTCCTGGCCAAGCCACAGTTCTGTTAATAATATATATATATATATATTATATATATATATATATATATATATATATATATATATATATATATAAACACTGATCTCTGGCTGAAGGAGACTCGAACCTACGAACCATAGGACAAGGTATGCAGTGCTTTACCAATCTACCCACACTGGACAATACCTTGGCGTGTAGCTTGCGCTACACGTTTGATCCAAGGCAGCCAGCTTTCAGGGAGAAGGCTTACAGCTTTTCATCTCATCCCCTGCATGCATCAGCCTTACTAGAGATTCGAACAATGCAAGGAATTCGCGAGAGCAGGCGAAATATACACAAACACTGATCTCTGGCTGAAGGAGACTCGAACCTACGAACCATAGGACAAGGTACGCAGTGCTTTACCAATCTACCCACACTGGACAATGCCTTGGCGTGTAGCTTGCGCTACACGCTGTAAGCCTTCTCCCTGAAAGCTGGTTGCCTTGGATCAAACGTGTAGCACAAGCTACACGCCAAGGTATTGTCCAGTGTGGGTAGATTGGTAAAGCACTGCGTACCTTGTCCTAAGGTTCGTAGGTTCGAGTCTCCTTCAGCCAGAGATCAGTGTTTGTGTATATTTCGCCTGCTCTCGCGAATTCCTTTCATATATATATATATATATATATATATATATATATATAGGATTGCTGGTGTCTTTTATCTGTCTCATAAACATGCAAGATTTCAGGTACGTCTTCCTACTTCTACTTACACTTAGGTCACATTACACATGCACGTACAAACATATATATAAACACCCCTCTGGGTTTTCTTCCATTTTCTTACTAGTTCTTGTTCTTATTTATTTCCTCTTATTTCCTTGGGGAAGTAGAATAGAATTCTTCCTCCGTAAGACATGCGTGTCGTGAGAGGCGACTAAAATGCCGGGAGCAAGTGGCTAGTAACCCCTTCTCCTGTATACATTACTAAAGCTATAAAGAGAAACTTTTGATTTTTCTTTTTGAGCCACCCTGCCTTGGTGGGATACGGCCGGTGCGTTGAAAGAAGAATATTATATATATATATATATATATATATATATATATATATATATATATATTATATATATATATATATATATATATATATATATATATATATATATATATAACGTCTTCATTTCTGGAACGAAGGAAACATCACTAAATATGTTACTACGTAGATAAAGTAATAACTATGAGACTACTACCCACCATCCTCGGCAGTAGTGATGACGTCACAGGTCAGCTGGTGTTCTGCAGCCACCATCTCCCCGACACACACCTGGTACCTGTGAACCAAGACACTTAATTACGACACACACTTGGTACCTGTGACCCCAAGGCAATTACAACACACACCTGGTACCTGTGACCCCAGGACAATTACTACACACACCTGGTACATGTGACCGAAGACACTTAACTGCCACATGCACACACACACCTGGTACCAACACTACCAACACAGCATCGTAGGCAAGTCTTTCTTCAAAATGTAGTTTTTTAGGCAAGTTTTGCCCTCCAGTACAGCTTCAGAGGCAAGTTCTGTAACCCAACACAACTTTGGCAGCAAGTATTGCTCACCGACACTGCTTTCTCGGCAAGTCTTGCCCTTTAACATAGCTTCATAGGCAAGTCTTGCCCTCGAACACAGCTTCGTGGGCAAGTATCTCTTTTCAGCAGAGTTTATAATGTAAATCTTACCCCTCTTCCCTCCAACACAGCTTCATAAGCAAGTTTTCCCTCCAGCAATAATCGGTAATAAGAATGATCGGTAAAGTTGAGTATGCTCTTGAGACTTGTACCACATATAGTACTCAGTATAAACCTCATCGACATATTCGGTAAATTACAAATACTTATTCGTGTTATCCTCACCTTAATGACTTATATTGCAATTAATTCTAATAATTTCGTATTTCTAAAATTAAGCAGTTTTTAATGTATTTTTTATGCTAACAATTTATATTTCAGATTTACTCTGAAAGAATTCTTAAGCCTTTATTTTATCGCTGGAGGAGAGGATTTCCTTCTTCCTTAAGTTCTGTGTTATTTAATTTGCACTTGTTATAAATATAATCTGTATCTTTTAACGTCAAGATGAATCAGCCACCTTTATGGTCACCTTAACTTGCAAAAGTGGTCCTGGAATGCTCAATGAGTCCTCAGGATTTGTCACCTTGTAGGTATCGTAGGTGAATATATCAAGTGGTGGTATATTGTTGTGTCTTTAGACATAATGTACGCTTTTCCTTATGCATGTATATGTATTTTTTAATTTAATATTATATTGCTTATGTTATTTCCGTTAGCAGCCAAAACTAAAATATGATTTATAGTATTAGCCGTTTTTCATATTTAGCCACATAAGTATGTAGTGTAAAGCATCCTTCTGGCAAGACAGTGATGGAGTGAATGATGGTGAAAGTTTTTCTTTTTCGGGCCACCCTGCCTTGGTGGGAATCGGCCAGTGTGATAATAAAAAAAAAAAAAAAAAAAAAGTATGTAAAATGCTTTACAAAATATACTTTGTGTGTTAACAGTTTTGAGGTTCTTACTTGCTATCCCACTCAGCTACACGCTTTCTCGTTCGTGTGTCAATTAAGGGGCATCCGGGAAATTCGTCAAGCTGGGATCAGACTTTACCTGACGCCTGCATCTGCTGTGATCATCCCTTTTCACTTCCTGGACATCGGCGAGGCAACACCTGTTTTGCAAGGGCAAGGAAGGTAAGGCAAGGCGAAACACCTGTCTTCTGTTGTCTGATAGAACTTTGTTCTCCTGTGATGTAGACTCAGTTTTATGGCAGAGTATGATCTCGTTAGTGATCATACTCTGCCCTTGTCTTCTTCAGGACTATGTTCTCGAAGTCTAATTTAGAATTTGTGAAATTTGACAACTTATAGTTGGGTCTCTTGAAACACTCAATAAGCTCCGGGCCCAGAGTCTAACTCTATAACTTGCTCAGACCAAATTTATGCAATGTGACGGTAGAGATTTGAAAGTTGCTGCTCTCAGATTCAGTAATTTGGGAGTATTATACATTCTATGGCAGACTTGCTGATTGCTCTCAGTTAGGTAATTTTTTGTCTTCCTCGCCATGCTGCAGTATTGCTTAGAGCTATTTTGTATATATTACTGTTTGGTAAACTGAAAGAATCATTGGTTCAAGTAAGCTATGCATATTCCATCTCTGTGGTCAGAAGTTAGGTCATTTAGGGACTTTTTGGTTTTGTCAGTCACATTCGTTGCTGTGTCAGCCACACCGTTGATGCTCATACACAGTTTTCTTATTCTAATACTTATGAGTACTCTATTGTACAGTATGTGACAAGAAGCATAGTTAATTATATATATGTGGAAAATACTGTATATTCTCCAAAAATACCGTGTATTTTGTATGTAAATTAGTGTAATATATTGTAGGTAATAAAAATTAATTTGTAAATAAATAAAGAACCAGCAATGGGTGAGCGTCGCTGGGGAGGAGACGCCATTGTTTTGAATGGGGCAAAGACACGTTAGTGAAATGTGCATAAATTTTCGTCACTCTAGGGGTTATATTGGGCTTAAAACCTCTCAAATAGGAGCCGAAATTGTTGGATTTGCAGTCCTGCATAACGTGATCATTAAGCAGATGGACAGGACAGCTTCGGAACCCCAGCTAAGTCATGTCTATTTTGTGTTGAAATTCTGGCCAGTATTTTCTTCATAAATTTAGGCAGGGGTTTGTATGACACACTGTAATCTCCAGACTAATTGGTGAGTCTCATTATTATAAATTCTCCTTCAATGTATATGTATTCACATTTTAAAGTTAATATACAGTTCACATATTTATATTAATGTTTTTACCAGAATTCCTGGTGATGTATATTTCATTTGAAATTAATATAGGTCCAGAGTGACTTGTGGAGAGATAGATTATCGTAGGTACCGAAGGAGGACACTTTTTGCGACCTAGGTGTCCTAAAATTCCTACTTGTCTCTGTAACCTTGATAAAGAATAATTATCTTTGTTACCATTTACTGGTATGTATTTTATGAGTTACATCCAGGTAAATTTAATTTTCCACACACACACACACACACACACACACACACACACACACACACACACACACACACACACACACACACACACATATATGCAAAACAACCACTCTGAAAGAATAGAGAAATTCCAAGTGCTTTCGTGACTACTCACATTATCAAGGAACTATGAAAGTAAAGCATCCAAGGAAGCTATATAAGGGGTCTGGCCAGCACCTCACTATCAGATCCCACAACGGTTAAACACCTGACGCGCGCCGACCCAACTTAGATAGGTCCTTTGCACAACTCACCAACAAACTATTCTACCCAAGAAAATTAAAAAATTATTATTTGTCCAGTGTATTATTAAATTCTTCCCAAATTCTATTAATTATAAATGGATCTAATTTATACAAACCAAAGGAAATATTCATATTATTGTCAAAACTGCTTTTTATGAAACAAGATTCAATAATATTCCTGTCGACCATGGACTTGCTTGATACTACTTTCTCAACTTTTTGAAAATCAATTGGATGGTTAAAAATCTCTTACATGAATAAATAGAGCATTGGAATCTTGTCCAGTTCTAATGCTATATTTAATGTTGTTTTAATCTTAGTTCGAGATTTTTACCAGTTTGACCGTAATAAACTTTATCGCAAATTTTACAAGGAATCTTATAGACACATCCATCAGCATTTTGGGGGGAATTCTTTATCAAAAGTTTTTTTACTGTATCAAGATTTTTGAATACAACTTTAATATTAAAAGTCTTAAGAAGAGAAGGCATATCAACCAAGTTTTCATTGTAAGGGAGAACCAACATATTTTTAGTTGAATAAGGCTGGCTGTCCCTTTTTGGATTGTAAAAAGTATTTCTAGCAACTTTAAAAGATTTATCAATTACATTTCTTGGGTATTTTAAATCATTACCTATTTCATAAATTTTGAATATTTCCTCATCTATGAACTCAGGACTACAAATTCGTAAAGCTCTCAAAAACATTGATGAGAAAACAGACAGCATCAAGATAAAGTCAAACTGTCTGTTTTCTCATCAATGTTTTTGAGAGCTTTACGAATTTGTAGTCCTGAGTTCATAGACGAGGAAATATCCAAAATTTATGAAAGTGTTAGTAATATTAATGCTATCACGAAAACAGTTCCTTGCTGTTATGAGAGCTGACTTGCAGCATTATGCTGTGAAGCTGTGGCCGCCAAACAATAAAATATAAATGCTTAGCATGACAAGGGGCTCTTCAAAAAATGTGTACAAAGAAATATTATCCCAAAATTGCAATAACTCTCTGGATATTTTTGAGAACATGACTGTTTTTTTTTATGTTGACATTATCATAAAAACACATGAAAAAGATAAGAAAATTTATCCTCACATCAGGAATGTGTTCTATGGATGTTTGCTAGATGCTTCCCATTCCTTGCATACATACCAAGCCTACTGTAAAATTGGCCTCAGTTGTCTCTGTATAAAATCTTCCCTTAAATAGAACAGTTGTTATTGCACGTATTACTGCCAATTAATTTCACCCGATCTCATCCTCTACGATGCTGCAAATGATGACTGATACCAACAAGTGTGCAAGTGAGACATTTATGGAATTAAGTGATTACATTTCTACTTAGTGTTTGTTTAATATTTTCGAGATGAATCTGCATGTGTTTTGAGCGATGGTGGAAGTCAAGGTTAGAGCAGATTCCAAACATCATCTGCGATTATGTCTGATTCACTGACGAAATATTTGGCTTCCTGGAACTTCATGAGATGATATGAGGTCGTTACTGCCTTTACAAATTCAGTTGATAATTTTACCCTAGCAAAATTCTCTGTACGTTTTATTTTCGATAAAAAAGAGATGAAGGACCAATAGGACCAACGTCACTCGTGCACTAGCATGGGACAAACTTACTCGAGATATGGAATATGTCCCCCTAGCTAAAGTTTTTCCAGCTGACTATCCCCTAGCAAGGCTTGTTCCTCAGGGTGAGGTCTGGAAACAAACTACTGTGCACCAAGATGATTGGTTACCAGTAAATAATGACAGTCTAAGAAATCTGAAATCTAAAGACAAGGCTAATAATTTTAAATTTACCTTACTCTATAAGCATCAGTATGATCACTGTGGGAAATTACCTGCATGAGGTTTACCTGAATTATTACATGCAAGTAATTTGGGCGAGGTAAGTGGACTTAGTGACAGTAAGTCGCAGAACTGTCACTCCCTCGATGCGC